CCTCGAGATAGTGTACTACATTTGAAATACTCTATGGATATAACATTAAAGAGCTACTCGCTACAAAATCACCATTGGTAGTTCAGGGTTGAAGTTAACTTAAAAGGGCGGATGAGGTATTTCATAAAAGCGCTACTGAAAGAGGCAGAAAATTAGATAACCTGAGCCAAAACAAGAGAGACTACCACGCTACCGACCTCAAAATTCCAAGAAACAGTTAGCGGAACTAGCAGGATCCATTACCTAACGCCTTTGAAAGAGATGTTATCAAGAAAATCGACAAGGTATGCAAAGGAGCTTTATCAAGCCAGTGATGCTTCTAGACTTACTAGATTTGCAAAAAGCTTTGAAAGGGCATTTGGAGTTTGCACAGCTTGACGTACAAAAAGCAATAAACAAAAAATTTACCAATAGGCTGTGAGAGTTCTCAGTGTTGACTAGTAGACTCTGAATATTGCTAATTGAATTAGAGAGTAGCGAAAGAAGAAGCATTATAAAGAAAAATGCATCCAAACGATTGCTGTCACCAAAGAAAAGTTGGAAAATTCGTTTACTCCTATGCCTTCAACATTTGAAGACAGGTGGTTGAATGACAATGAAAGAAAGATAAGCTAACCTACGAAGAAGCGCGTACTTGTATTGCTAAAGAAATCGAAGAAATACACGTTGAAATTTCTTCTCATTGTCCCCTTTTTGCTGCTGACTTAGTATTGATTTATTATGTAAATATAAAATTAGTTGCAAGAAAATTCCATGAAATTACTTTAGAGAGTGCACAGCTTACCAGCCTAAAGAGAGTCGCACTGCCCGGTAGGGTGATGTTGATTCTAGTGCGTCTGGGAGCGGTGATATTGAGAATGGTACCGTTAAATCGACCCATTGCAACTTCCGCTCTAATTGAATTATGAGCCGAAGTGACAACATTCTGTTCTTCTTGAGAAAGCATACACGCCTCTGAAGGAGTTGATATTTTGTAAATTACAAATTCACTGAAGCATCCAATGAGGAACTTACGCGCTGATACTAGTCCCACATGAAGCAGAAGCAGAATGATCTTAATCATGTCAATTATTTAAGTGAGGTAAATTGAAATATTA